AAGTAAATGGGGTTCTATAAGGGGATATATAATCTTAATGAAAGCAATGGGTATACCATCAACACCAACAGAGTTCGACTTAATGGAAAATATTGCTTTGTATAAGTCGTAAAAGTCAATAGTAATGAAAGAAAATTTGTTCGCAGAAAATTCTTCAGAAAATACTGGATTGGAATACAATGATTGTCTTTGAGCAGAAATAAAATATTCATTAAGACTGTTTGGTTCATATGTATCCCATCCTAAAACAGTCTTAATTGCACCATCCTCTTTCAATAATTTCCAGAATTTTTTAGAGTCAATATTGAGAAATCTAGTTTTATCGAGTTCCTTTCTACGTCTTCTTATAACTGATTTTACCTTATTTCGGAGTCTGCAATATCTTTTCCATGTATCGTCATTTTTATATCCCCGATATTCTCTGTAAGCCATATCACGTTGTCGTTTAGCATCAATGACATATTTATCTCTTCTCAGATCATCGGCCCTGCCAGCATTATTAATAAGTCACTTAACTACAGGCACACAAGTAATAAAACTATCAACAATAAATGAATGTAGAGTGTCGAGCTGTACGTTGGTGTCATTGGTGTTATAGATATTGGAAAAATCAGTTTCATGGAATTTATCTTCTAAGAGTTTGAAGTCGATAGACTTTAAATCCCTTATTTCAATATATTCTTTATTGGTATCCACTGAAAACTTCAAACTAATAAAGATAAATGCATGATGTGAAAAAGCCGGACAGTAAAATTGATCAGAAATTAATAGTTTATTCATCATGTGGGTTGATATTAAAAAATAGTCAATAAGTGAATATGAATCACATCGAACATCATGATGAGTAGGGAGTGAGTTATGGATATATGTAAGGCCATTTCTTTTACAAATAGAATCCAGTTCCCTTGTTTTTATAGGCTGAAAAATATTCCAATTGAAGTCTCCCATTATCACCATATTTTCATATTCACAACAATACTCTAAAATATTTTCATCTAATGAACTGATATTACCATGAGGTAAATAGATTAAGCAAACGTATAGCTTTATATTTTTCAAAATGACTTCAATTAGCAAAAACTCACATTTAGTTGGGTCGGATAGGCTTGAAATTACTCTAGTTGAAATTCCATTCCTAACATAAAACAATAAGCCTCCTCCCCTAGAACTGATGCGATCACTCCTAATTATTTGATATCCTGGAATGTTGATAACGTTGTCCAAAATAAAGGGTTTAAGCCAAGATTCAGTTATACCTACTATGTCCAAGAACTGTCCTTCTTAAATTGATTTTAACTCGTATAATTTACATGAGTTATTTCCTGTGTTAATACTTTGCATGTTAATGTGACCAATGTTAAAACTTTCTTTTCTGTTGTGTAAATGTTTAAGGAATAAGGAATTATTAGAAATTGTTTTACCAAGATTAGAAAACATAGTTAGAAAAGGTAAGAATGAAAAAAGAGGCGAAAGGATAGTTAGAGGTGAAAAGATAATTTATTAGGCAATAAAGTCTTTTTTATAGTTTGATAAAAAATCATGAAGAAAAGTCATCGGAAAAAAGAAATATGTATATAACCAAATATGATCACCAAAATATTCAAACTTAAAAAGATTATTATAATGGCTAAATAAAATGAATAATAATTTTGGATTAATTTTAAATTAAGAATTCTGCAGTAATTTACAATGAAAAATATATACATAGGAGAAAAAATAAATAAAAAATTAAATTTTCATCAAAAAATATGTGCGGCTATTATTAGGACGTATTTGGTTCTTCTGATTTGTCCAACCAGCTGGAACATTGTTTAAAGTCCAAAGTTATGACAGAATCATTTAATTTAGTAATAAGAGCTTTGGGGGCATCCATATTTATAAGTTTAAATTTCTTAATCATTTTCTTCGAGCGAAGTTTTCTACATATAAAATGCAGTTTGTGGCAAGCTGGGGATAAATTGTCATTGAGGTAGATACGGGTAGTGATAGTTGAACCTTCAATAATATCGTTTAGTTGAATTGGTTTAGATTTAAAGTAATGCTGCATTAATGTATCTCTTAATTTAATGGAGTTGAATTTTACAAGTATACATTTCCGATTGTTAAGTAAACAGCAATGGTTAATGTCCGATTCCTGGATACTAACACCATATATATTTGCAATTTTCAAAATAATGTTCTGAATGTTTTCCATTGAGTGAGGTAAACCATAAATAAGTATATCCGATCTGTTTTGACGTCTTTCCAAGGTATTATTTTTTAACTCCAACATTTTAAACTTCTCTTGAAAAGATTTGTCAATAGTGTTGACCATTGAATAACAATTTTTTACATCAGCTTTAATATTTTTTAAATCCAAAGATAATTCTTGTTTTATTTGTAATGCCATGGCATCAATTTTCGTGTCTATATTATTAAAACGATCATCCAGTTTATTGAAACGTTCATCTAGAGATTTTTGTAGATTCATTAGAATGGCTTTGAAATCAACTTGGTTTTCCGGCATGTTGTTAGAGTTCTGTGATTCAGCAGTAGAATTATTATTTGGTGTTAGTATGTTTTAGGGTGATCGACTCGATTTTTCAACCGGTTTTTTCTGCTTTACCAGTGTCGGTTTTTTCTAAATGTTGATTTTTCGAATATCGAATAACCCGGTTTTTTCACTTTTTAAAAACCGGTTTCGAATACTTTTATTTGCTTTGTATTCAAAGATTATTTAAATGAAATTTTGAAGTAAATAATACAGCCCGTTTAAATTTAAAAATATTCGAGTCCAGGAACTAGGATATATTTTTCTAAAGCACCATTGGTTAAACTTTTCTGATTTTCCTAATTAATTAAAAAATTTTATTTGTAAAATTGATAACTGTTTAATAAAATTTTATTAATCTTAAGATTATATTCCAATTACAATAATTAATTTACCGCTGAAATATTATGGAAGTGAATATGAAAATTTCCTAAAAGGGCTTACATAGTACCTTATGTTTAACAGAAGTGTCCACTTTTTTCCTAATTTTTTTTTTTTTATATTAAAGAAATAATGTAAATCAGACGACTAGATCTAAAGTTATAATCTGTTAAACTGTTAAAAATCATTTCGGGCCATGTTTTATTAATCAAATTTAATCATAAACATTAATTTCTTCAAATTAACATATATTTTTTTATTTATTATGAAAAACCGGTTAACCGGTTTTTTCTGAATTTGAAAAATATCAACCGGTTTTTTTGAAATGTCAACTATTCGAACTATTCGAAAACCGGTTTTTGGAAAATGTCGAATAATCGATCACCCTAGTATGTTTGCAAAGGTATTAGACTTCTCACAGCAATATTTACACGTAAACTTGACAGCGCGATTTTTAAAAAGCCAATCCACTTGTGAGTCTGTTAATCCTGCACATTCCGCATGGGAAAAAATACCACAAATGACCCAACCAACACTAGCCTTTATTTTGCAAATATTTTTTTTACAGTATGGACATATATCGTTTGCTTTTGGCATTTTATTTACACACAGTTGGTAGTTGTTATTCTAAATTTTGTTTTAACGACATCACTTGTAGGTAATAGATGATTGTTTTTTTTTGTGTAGGATTTTGTACTTTGTGAAACTTTTAGTTTTTTTATAATTTTTATGATTGTATTTTTTTTGTTTGTTTTGGCAATGTAAGATGGCGGAAAATTTACACGCGGTAATGCAAATTTGTGACTTCATAGATATTATATAATTTAGATGATTATTTTATATTATACCAATCTAATAAAATAGTCACTTAATTATATTTTTCATATGTTTCTTTTTTAACTTTTATTTTGTTCAAAGACTGCGAAAATAATTTTAATTCCGAGACCGATAATTTTGTTTAGTTCTTCATAACAGGGTTATTTATAATTGTAATTATAATATTTCAAAATTTTTGAATATATAAAAAACAAAACTAATTAGATTAAAATTAAATATTATTATATAAAAGTATTTCATATTAAATTCACTACAGAAGTAAAGACAAAATAATTATTTTTAAGTTTGCTGTTTTTAAAATCTGAAGTATTTCCGTATGAACCCATTCTAGAAGTACGTAAATCAGAACAAACTCTTAAAATGTTTCTGAAGAATTGATATAAAAATTATCAAATAAATTTTCTTCTGTATTGTAAATTAACTAAATTAAAGGAAAATTTATTATAAAGATATTGAATTTTATATGAAATATTTACTGTTAAGAAATGAGTTTTATTAAGCGGTTAATTGATAAAAATTATTCGATTTATTCGTTATTCGAAATTTGGCATCTTTAATTTATTTGAGCGATTAATCGACAAAAATTCATCGATTAACCGATCGACGATTAATCGTTTAAATACCCTACTCATTACTAAATATTTTCTAAAACCTTGTAAAAATGTTTATAAAAAGAAATGTTTAATGAAAAATACATTTTGTTGTTGTTTTCGTCAATTAATGATGGATAAAACGTAGTGTTATTGAATAAAAAATATCAAAAATCGGCTATTAAGTAGTATATAAGATATTATTCTTCAAAATTTAAATATAAATAATTAGTGCATTATTTTTAGCAAAAAATGAATTTTATTGTAAACAAAAGAGTGAACCTATTTAAGTGAGCGGGAGTGTATCTTTCCATTGGCAAAAATTAGTCTAGCATCAGTTATGTGAAATTCTGTATGTACTAAATAATTGCCGGATTTAATATTTCCTCACGGAGGAATTTTAACGCAATAGTATAATGGTTAACACAAATAAAAAGGAAAATTAATTATAAAGCCTTTTTACATTAAATTGTAGAAAAATATTTAATAAATTTAATTAATTAATTTATATTTAAGAACGACAAACTTATTCATAAATTTGTAATTTTATTTTGTAAGCTTGAAATAATAAAAAAATCAAAATATACATAAACAAATGATAGAGATTAATTTAATGAATGCACATTTTGTTAGGTTTTTCTATATTTTTTAATAATTTTAATTTTTAATAATAATATAAAATGCAAACTATTAATTACTAATTTAAAATGTAAAATCACCAACTAGAAGTGGTTTTTCTAAATATAAATGAATATCACATTGTCCTTTAAAATCATTTTTATCGGGCCAATAGTTCTGATTAAATTCATTATTTAATTCATCATGAAACTCTTGATCACTGTCTTTTACGCTATTATTAGAAACTTCAGAAATAAGATCTTCTTCTTGGGGCAGCCGTTGATCGTTATCAATTAGTTTATTCAAAAAGGAATCGTCATATAAATTCATTTCAGACCAAATTTGTTGATCACCTAAAAATAAATTAAAATTTTTAGTTAAAATTAATTGTCAACAATTTGTTTATTATTTTCTAGGTCGACTTGATTATCATTATGGATATATGTTTGGGTTGTGTTGATGTTTGCACGGGATAGAGTGAACACTGGATAATATTAAAATATTATTTTTGTACTTATTTTAATACATTTTATCCTTTATAATTATACCCTACACCACTTTAGTGGGGTAAAGTATACCAATCGGCTTAGAATCATTTTCTGAGTCGATTTAACTATGTCCGTCCGTCTGTCCGTCCGTCTATGTAAACCTTGTAATCAAACTACAGGTCGCAATTTTGATTATAATTCAATGAAGTTTGGTACATGATCTTCTATTATCCTAGGGACGAAGCCTATTGAAATTGGTTACGATCGGTCCATTATTTCACCTAGCCCCCATACAACTGAACCCCCGAACAGGGCTTGTAAACTTTGTAATCAAACTACAGCTCTCAATTTTGAAGATAATTCAATGAAATTTGGCACACGATCTTTTATGGCACCGGAGACGAAGCCTGTTGAAAATGGTTAACATCGGTCCCTTATTTCACCTAGCCCCTATACAACTGAACCGGACTAATAGGGCTTTTAAGTTCGTATCTCGACAAAAAGCTGCAAAACCAAGTTTTATACTTGCCTTGATGATCCTCCTGCATTTTTTAATTATAGGGTCTCATTTGACCATAGCCCCTATTCAAAGCCCCCTTCAAAATTCGACTTAAATGTCCACAATTTTATTCAACAATAAATGGCTTAAGTATATCTGAGGCAAGGTACAATTCAACTTAAATGCTTTATTATGAAAACTAAATCACATTTTTTTGTAACTGCTACCGGAAACGAAGCCTGTTGAAAATGGTTAACATCGGTCCATTATTTCACCTAGCCCCCATACAACTGAACCGGGCTAATAGGGCTTTTAAGTTCGAATCTCGACAAAAAGCTTCAAAACCAAGTTTTATATTAGCCTTGATGAGCCTCATGAATTTTTTAATTATAGGGTCTTATTTGACCATAGCTTCCTTAAAAATTCGACTTAAATGTCCATAATTTTATTCAACAATAAATGGCCTAAGTATATCTGAGGCAAGGTACAATTCAACTTAAATGCTTTATTATGAAAACTAAATCACATTTTTTTGTAACAGGTGTAGGGTATTATATGGTCGGCCTCGCCCGACTATAATTTCATACTTGTTTTTAAGAATATCGATGTATTTAGAATATCCAATGAAAATGTTAATAAAATGAAACATTATAATGTTTTAGAAAATGTCCATTGATCGAATGAATTACGTAATAACGAACTCTAAAATGTTTGAGAATTTCTCTTTTTTTGGGCCAGCACTTAGGGGTTATTGGATCTAGAATAATTGGTAGTGGGAAGAAGGATAGAGGAAGTAGTGTTTTTGGACATTTGATTTAAAAGAGGAAATTTGTTTTGCATACGAATAATTGAAACATCTACACCCTTATTCATAAACTTTTATCAAAGGTTTATAAATCAAATTTTCATACAAAAGTTGTTCTATAAACCTTTGATTAATGTTTTTGAATAATGCAGCTAATATACATACATACATTTACTAGAGATCATACCAAGTTAGTTTGCAAGAACTCAATGTAAAGTATTTTAAATCATATTTGCCAAATTAAACAGATAATAAACAAATGCATTCGTAATTCAGTTTTGGGTGGAGGACAGTGTGACCAGGTCTCAAAAAATGTTGCGGCTAAATCCCATCCAAAATAATGCTAGAAAAAATGCTAAATTGATTTTAAAATGTCAAAAAAAATGCTAAAATTTTTATAGTGTTTTTATGAACAATTCATATTAATTTGTAACCGAAATTCATTGTAATTTATAACAAGTAAGAAAGTATATTCTGCCGTGGTTGACCATATGAGTATAAAATTTGATTTATTTTTCGTAATAAAGCATTTATGTTGAATTGAACCTTGGTTCCGATATATTTAAACTAATTTTCTGAGAAAGACTTTATACATTTGTATATGTATGGGGGCTAGGTAAAATAAAGGACGGACTTTAACCATTTTTAAAAGGTTTTGTCATTGGATCAAAAAGCATACGTGCTTATTGTTTTGAAAATTTCAACCTCTACCAAACGGTCAGACTTACATGGCTTAATCGATTCAGAAAATGATTCTTAACCGATTAGTATACTCAAACGTAGTATAGTGGAGTAGGGTAAAAAACTAAGTTCCGTGGTATTAAGATAAACAGAAATGCTAAAAATTATTTCAAAATTTTTGTAAATTTAGCAATATGTAATGTCTCTAACTTTAAAATATTTCTGAATGCAAAAATTACATTAAAACTCTATTAATTACACTCGTTGCTCATGGTATAAAACCTATATGTGTTTTCGGAAGGAAAAGTATAATATTTCTAGCTTTACTCTTTTTTATATAAACAATTTTATTTGTCTTCCTCAAAACACTTTAAAAATGGTTTTCATGTCACAAAAATATTGAAAATTCCGTTGAAATAATTTTAAATCTCGGTGAATAGATGTCAGGTTTATAACTCATACTTCCAAGATTTTTTTCGGAAAAATATATATGAGAATGTATGAAATGAATTGAGAGATATATTCAAATCCGTAATTCTGGAATAAATTGTCAATAATATTTTCGAAAATTATGTATTTTTTTTTTTAATTAAAAAAAAAAACGTGACAACAAAATTACTAAAAATTTGGTAAAAATAAAAAGAACAGAAAGTAGGTTGAGAAAGTCTTAATTATATATTATTGATTTTGTTCAATACTTATTTTCAATAAATTAACAAGAACTCCTGAAGGATGATAAAAATTAAAACCTCTTTATTTCGTATAGGAAAAAATAAAATTTGTTAATTAACCGTCATACATAGCCTTTTCCAAAATTATATGTTTTATTCCATGAGCAAACAAAACGTATTAGTTTGTAAAATAGCGTACTGAACGTATTTGTAAAAATATATGAAATCTCTTGAATTATTTCTATCACCTCGAATTTAAAAAGCATTGGGTTTCAGAAAAATATTTTAGAATACAACATTTTAAAGTATTCACTTGTATTCACGTAATTTTAGGTTATTTATCTTCATGAATCTTTTTGCATTATTTTGAATTACAGTGTAAATTATTACATTTCTCATATTTCTTGTTGCTTGTGTTTGGGTAGACATTTAATTCTAATTTTTTCCGGTTAAACCTATTTCCAATATAAATCTTTTTTTGCAAAAATTTGTCTTTTTTTTTGTTTATATACTAAAATTGCAAAAAAAAACTAAAAATGCTAAAAATATTTTATAAAAATGCTAAATAAAATGGCAAATGCTAAATTAAAATTTTACAGCTAAATCAAAATAAAAAATGCTAAATCTAGCTGCAAAAATGCCAAAATGGTCACACTGGTGGAGGAAGATCGTCGTGCGTCGTTGCCATTATCGCTTAAGGGGAATCAGGACGTTCTTTTTGCTCTGCCTTCGAGAGTTTTACGTTTCAAACCGCATTGATCAAATGTGTGACGTGGAATAACTGTACCGAGTTACGGTTTTTTGAAGTGCATGTTGACCATATGTATTCGTGTTAACTTAACCAAAAAAACTCAATTTGATATTCTGTCCAGTTGTACTGGAATAATTGGTGTTGACGTTATAATCTTTCGATGCGGCCAAGATGTCTTAGCTGCAGATGCAGCTAAGCAAACTTAAAGTACAAACAAACAAAACTAAAATCTATTTGTCTATAGTTAAAATAATTACTATAAAATCGAAAAAATACCATCAAACATGTATATTATATAAACGGAAAAGCTTTGACGATTTTTTCCTCGAAATTTGACGATTTTACACCCAATCATTTGGCAGCTATGATACGAACACCCAAAATTTTACATTAGTTTATTATACCCTCCACCACCATCAGTGGTGATAGAGTTTTGATATAAGTTTGTCATTCCGTGTGTAACACCAAGAAATATTCATCTGAAACCCAACAAAGTATATTTATTCTGGGTCCTTATGATTTAGCTATGTCCGCCTGTCCGGCCGTCTGTCTGTCGGGTTAAATTGTTTTCCTAAGCAGTTTGGTACTGAAAATCAGAAAAATCGGTTCATAACTTTAAAAGTTACGAGTAACAATTTCAGACCACCTCGAACAAAATTAAGGTTTTTTCCTAATTATTGAGTAGTTTTCTCAGAAACTACCGAAGATAATTCGATGAATTTTGTCACAAGTCATTTTTTTCATCTAGAGATTAATTATGTTTAAAATTGTAACAATCGATCTAAAATTTCCCATAGTCCCCATACAAAGATACATATTACCGGAAATTAACTTACCTTTAATAACTTTCTCAAATATATCGGTATCAACACAAAATTTTGTACATACTGACATAATGGCCCCTATTATGCATTTCAATTGTAATCGAAATTTTCTCCGTTTGGCAACTTTGGTATTCTGCAATTCGATTCGACTCTCCTCCACATAAACAACAACTTACAAAAACGTACATAGGTAAGATCGTAACGCAGAATACACATATTCGTAAAGCATTGAAACGAAATGGAATTGCTTCTTCTTTTTCTTACGATTCAGTTTTTTGTTGGAATACCTTTTTTCGATACTTGCGTAACTGAATGCATAAACGTAATCGAAATGCAGAATAGGGGTGAATATGAATACTACCGACTTAGATCTGTATCAGTCCTGTTGGTCATAGCTCCGCTTTCGAAAATCACTTAAATGAACATATTTCATTGATAAATTAAGCTACCGGGATAAAATTCGACATTAGTATGTTTTGTGTATATATAAATCACTCTACGAAATTTTTTCCCGATCGGTCCATAATTGGTCATAGCTCCCATATAAGGTCCACATCAGAAAATCACTTAAACGAGCTTAATTCATTGATAAATAAAGCTAACGGGATAAAAGTCGACATGAATATGTTTTGTG